AGTGAAGTAAGAGACTGCATGCCCCAGAAGAATGACAGCATCAACCCCTAAACAACATGTGTTTATGTTAAAGCAGCCAGTGATCATATTACATCAGACTTAGTTGTGCTGCAGCATTAACACCAGCAATAGAAGTCGTAGTGAAAGCAAATCAAATGATGCTCAAAATCAGTAAATACAGGTTCAATCAAGCTGCTGCCTTCAGAAGATGATGAAACTATTTTGATTTATACGAGGTGTGTCAGATAAGTTCCAGGACTGGTGTCACAACAGATACTAAACCCAAACTACAGACTTCAGATGACCAACCAGCACAAAGAGGTCCTGCAGCGTTCACTTCGTTCAGAGAAGAGGAGAGAGTTGTGGCAGGACGAGTCGTGGCTGCTTCACCATCTCCGTGCTGGAGCAACCTCCCTACTCTCCCCACCTGGCTCTGTGGGATTGGTTCCTGTTCCCCGAGCTCAAGAAGGTCATCAAGGAGACCCGTTTAGAAGACGTGGACGACATCAAGATGGCTGTGATGATGGAGCTGGAAGAAGAATCCTTCCTGGAGTGCATGGCGGCGTGAAGAGAAGGCTGGAGAAGGGTGTTAGACTCCAGGGGGACAATTTGCAGTTTGTAGTTTGGGTTTGAAATCTATCTTTTGTGACACCAGTCCTGGAACTTTTCTGACACACCTCGTATTTCACCTTAACTAGAAAACTAACTTAATATACTTTAACTTTATTGCACTTACTGCCTATTGACTTTCAACACTTTTAATCTACTGTTTACCACTAAAACATCAAGTCAAATATCTTATACGTCAAAAACCGACTTGGCAATAAAACCTTTTTGATCTGTTTCTCTCTTAAGTGTTTTTATCTGAAACTGTTCATTCTACCTGTTCACACAAAAGTAAATTCTAAGAGACAAAGACAGCACTCATGCACACGCCCTCGTAGGAGCAAAATGAACAAGTGTTGAAGTGCTGCAGTACGTGGCTAAATGCACCTGGTTGCAAAATGCCCTTCTTGCATTAACAAACCTCCAGGTTCACCTGCAGCGAAGCTCCTTTTCTCTCTTTATGAGCCAGCTTCGGGGTAATGACACGTCTCTTACAGTTAAAAGGGCTTCAGGGACAAAAGAGCTTTGCAGGGATCTCGAGCGCCGCCGCATCTCCTCACGTTCACGGTTTACTTCGAGAGTTTACTTTGGCTGGCGTGGAGCGGAGCTCAGTAGGGACCTGACAGGAGATCAGACACGTTGTGGTCACTCTGTTTGATTGGACTTAATTCCTCTGAGTGCCACTGACATGCCGTCCTTTGTTGGTTAACTACGAGCGACAAAAAGCTGCTCGTTAGACAAAACCGGCTGTTGAGTGAAGGCGTTTAAATGATTTTAATCCAATCCAGCGCGGCGTGCAGCGGCGCTAACCTGAGGCTCCAAATTATCACCAGAATACCTGCAACAGCCACGAGCAAAACAATTACTGCATGAATGAAAAGATAAATACAGCAACAGAGGGCGTTATCTAAGATTATACAAGCAAAGGGTTAGAAAGTCAAGCGTGGCTCCGTGCCCTTTGCTCTTCTCCTCCAGTTTTTGTTTGTTTAACAGCGTCAGATCCTGGAAGCTACTGGAGGTGCTAAAGAGGGTGGATGGCCGGCCGGGTGTCGGGAGGATGTGTCACCTCCCAAAACCAAAAGGTGGCATTTGTTGTGTAGCTTTTAGGTTTTAGACACAAAAAGAAAGGAGAAGATGAAGCTACACGAGGATTTGCTGCTTTTCTTTGGGTTTTGCACCGTTGGTTGGAAATAACAAGCAGCCTGAACACGTTTCACCGGGAGAAGCTTTTACGACTACCTTCTATAAACTGAACTATTAGCTGAAAAAGAAACAGAAGACTCGTCAATATTTGATCACTGATCCGAGAAACCGAGCTGCTGCTGTATTTACAAGAACGCCGCTCAGTGTTTGGGAGAAACAAAAGTGAAAAATCAGCAAGAACAGCAGTGAATAGCAGTGAGGCTTGAAGTTATTATGAAAGTGGTGCTTTGGGATCAATTACAGCGCTCATGCTCTAACTTGTTCACAATGACAAAGCTAACAGGCCAGTTTAAGGCAATTTTTTATTGCAAAAAACTCAAACTACAGCTGAGGATGATGGGAATGTTAGTTTCATTCATTACAAATGTAATCTAATGGTGGCGCTGAATGAAAAATGAGCCTCCAAAGTTGCTATGACTCACTCATGAAGGTGCAGGTGAAGCTTTTTAACAATCCATATAATCGTTATTGAGATATATGAAGACGTTACCATCCCTGATACCGTCCTGCTCAGTAAATCCGTCCCTAAAATTAGTTCCTATACAACTAAACTGCATTTTCTGTGGGATTACAATTGCTTGTATTGCATTACAAACATATTTGTAATCAGCACATGTTTGCCTTGTATTTTGGTCGCTCCTTTTCAGGGAGCCAATCAACTATTAGTTGATCTTGTCACCATGGTAACCTAGAAAATAGGAGAAGCTTCACACTGGTAGTGAAAGGTTTTAACCCAAACCAGGATGTTTTTCCAAACCCTAACCAGGTAATGTTGGCGTCTGAACTAAACCAAGCCTGTGGCATTGACAAGCGTCCACCGAAGTGTGATCATTTCCTAAATCTAACCAGAAAGTGAGTGAAACCCGAGAGTAAACCGTGACAGACAGCAGAACTGAAGTCTGAGACTGATGGCCTCGTGTTGCTGGAGGGATGCAAACCTTCGTCTTCTTCTGTGTAAAAGTCTAGTCTGGATTTTGTGGCTTTTCCTCGTTACTCACAGGTGACATTTATTTTGAAATGAAATTATGTTGGGGTGCTCGGTGGCTCAGTGGTTAGCACCGTGGCCTCACAGCTAGAAGGTCACCGGTTGGCGTCCCGGTGAGGACACCCGGGATCTTCCTGCGTGGAGTCTCCATGTTCTCCCCGTGCAGCGTGGGTTCTCTCCGGGTTCTCCGGCTTCCTCCCACAGTCCAGAAACATGCTGAGGTTAATTGGTGATTGTAAATTGTGGATGGATGGACATTAAATTATCTGTCTATATCAATTATTTAGTAAATTCATAGTTTGGTTTACAAACATCAGGAGCCCAACGCAACATCACAGAGCATCTTATTAAAGAAAGAAAAAAGCAGCAAACGCTTGTGACATAAGTGTGTCTGACTATCAGGTATTAACAGGCCGACTGCTGGCTGCAGCTCCACCGTATCTAAACCATCCATGTTTGACTGCAGCTGTAGAAGCACAGAAGAACATATTCAGAAGATCAGAATAGCTTTGTGGGAATTGTAATTATCTGTTTCATCACGTACTAAAGACAAAGAAAAAAAACTATTCCCCAAATGCCAGCGGCCCGGCTTGTCACATAACAAACATCTCTATGCAGAGACGGCCTTTGAAGTGGTTCGAGGGACGCTGCGATGACAACATGATGAACTGTGCGCATGAACTTGGTCATTTTCACTTTTTGTAAACACTGAGGTTGGACAACGGGGTGGTAGGAGTGGGGTTTGAGAAGAAGGAGGAGGTCTGCAATGACAAACGGAGGGCAGCTCTGTCGAGCTTTGTTCCGCTTCCTCTCCGGCTCACAACACAAACCCGACCAGGATCAACCCCGGGACGAGTCTTCGCTGCGGCCAAATGGCGGCTGCACACCTCATCTCTCGGCAAACGCAGCACGTCTCCACCGTGCAGCGACCGGCAGCGAGAGGAACGGAGCAGAACAGCTGAGAGCAGCCAGCTGGCTCGTTTACACGCAAACAGAGTAAGTGAGGATTTGAAAATGCCCTTCTAGGAACGTCTACGCCGAAGACACACTAAATTAGAGAGAATTATTGTCCTCATTAGCTCAGATCTAGCATCATCTGGCGCTAAATAGTCTGGATCCGGTCTCCATGGGGGCTTCCAAGATGCACGAGCACTTGCACTTTAATCCTCGATAAGCAGCAGAAGGATTCCAACATCTTAATTAGGACAGCGTTTGAGAATCAGAGAATTATTTCTGTATATTTTCTCAATTAATTGAATTATTTGCAATTAAAAAAAACTATGTTAATAGTCACAGTTTTCCCCACATTCTGTCAAAATTTGTTTATTTTGTAGTAGTAGCACAAAAGCTGAAATCAGAGAAGATGAGAATACAGAATATTTAATTATATTAATATTAAATTCATCATTCAGCGTTAACCTTGATGATTAAAAGACAAATCAGAACTTTGAAAAGCTGCACTATGGCAAAGAAAAATTTAAAAAATAAAGGTTTTATGAGACAACTTCAACTTGAAAATTGTTAAAATACACGTGGCATCAATGACTATGGGGTTTATTTTAGAAGTATTTTCACAATAGCGTTTCCTTCCTGTGTGTTTTTTTTCTCTCCTCGGGCTGATGAGCTGTTTTGGTTAAAGCTCAGCCGATGAGTGCACACAGGTATCTCATTAGGATCTTTTCTTTTGGCTGGTTAACCACCACCAGACACACACAGCGTGGCTTCACATCTGCTAAAGAGGTACTAATGTCAAGATTAAACATTGTGGTTTCCGCCTAAAACGAGGACCGAACACGTGCACACAGGCGCACGACACACAAACCCGAGCTCACATCAAACAGACCCGCTGCTCAACCTGCGCCACGACGCTCTGCAATTAGCTCGTGTTGTGTTTGATGATGGTATCTTCTGCCCCGAGGCGCCCCAGCCACATGATGAATATGTCCGACTCACCTCATCGTGCGATCTCGTCCTCCAGCTGCAGCGCTCGCCGCCTCCACGTCTTACGAACTGGCACCGACTCCTCAGTGTGTGTTAAAATCTTTACAGGTTTACAGGTTTGGAGTTGAGCAAACTGTCATCAGCTCTTCACACAACCTCCTCTGAAAGCCAAACCACAGACAAATGAGGCAGCGGATCGAGTTTCCACAAAGTCCATTGTCTTTAATTACATTTAAGAACATTTAATGAGATTCAGAGTCATAACTCATCTTTGAAGCTCAATTTATTATTATTATTATTTTCATTATTAGTTCAACCAGAAGGATTCTGCTGATTTATGGAGGTGCAAAGCAGTGACAGATTAACAGCGCCGGCCTTCATCTGCGGCAGAGGAGGAAGAGTTTTAAAATACCAACAGATTTAGAAATCGTCACACACAAACTTCACACATATTCTCCCCTCTAATCTAAGACATGCACAAAACATGAACATAATGGTTCATCTCCCACCGCAGGATGTTATTAAAAGCACTGCGAAAGACGGACCAATCAGGAAGCAGCGCGCCACATCACATGATCTCATGAGGCCCTATATGTAAAGAAAAATGCTGTAATGCTAAAAGGACTTTGCAGTGAGAAGAAAACAAAAGCAGAAGGAAAAAAAAAGTTGGGACAATACAGTCAACTTTAGTTCCTCACTTTTGATATGTGCAGCTAACGTTAGCCTCGCGGGCTAGACTGCGTTACCGTAGCAACCATAACCATCCCAAGTTTAGCTCATGAAGATCAAACATGTTTGTTGTCATTGGAACAGTTCAGGAGGTTTAAGACTGAACCTGTAAACTCTACACATCAGATTTCTCCTTCGATCGTCATTAACGAGGATAAAAATTTCTCAACTAGCGAAAAGCAGAGACCCAAAGACTTGAAGGCACCAAAAGCACATTTTTAAAGGAGCTTTTTACTGTTTGTGATTGATTCCTTGTTAAACGCATTATTCAGTTTTGGGTTGTTTTTGTATTTGTGTTGGAAAAAGTCACACATTTCTGCATTCGAACAGAATTCAGCACCATTTGAATCATTCTGTGCTGACAGCTGTTGGATCGGTCGCTTGTGTTCTCAAACCAGTTCAATCAAACAACATCTGCACGATTCTGGTGAAGAATAAAGTCGAAGTATCATCAAAAATCCAAAACCACGCCTCCCTCTGAAGCTCCTCCTCCAAAGAGTCGAGGTGGTTCAACACTCTGTAGCGCTGTTGGGAAGAAGAGTTCAGAACATTAGAACAACCTGACGCACAGAGTACATCAGCACATTTACAAAACATCCTGCTCAAAACCAAAACAAACTAACGTTAGCTGAGGCGGCAGGAAAGTATGGAATCAGACATCATCTTATTCAGACAGATTGCAATGTTTAGACAGAGTTATTACAGGTTTCATTATCAGACCCACTGATTTGTTGAATTATTGGAATGCAACAAGACTTTCAGAACATCCATCCATCATCTCTACACCTTCATCCTCACCAGGGTCATGGGGGGCTGGAGTCTATCCCAGCTGACTCAGGGTGAAGGCAGGTTCACCTGGACAGGTAATCAGTCTATCACAGGGCTACACTTAGAGACAGACAACCAAGCACACTCACATTCACACCTACGGACAATTTACAATCACCAATTAACCTCAGCATGTTTCTGGACTGTGGGAGGAAGCCGGAGAACCCGGAGAGAACCCACGCTGCACGAGGAGAACATGGAGACTCCACGCAGGAAGATCCCGGGTGTCCTCATCGGGACGTGAACCGGCGACCTTCTAGCTGCGAGGTGACGGTGCTAACCACTGAGCCACTTTTCAAACATATAATGAGACAATACTTTTAGGAATGTGTTGCTTACTCGACCTTTAACTGAATAAAACAGTCTCTCCTGAACTTCAACTCCTGATCATGTAATCATTAGTATGCAAAGCCATAATTACTCTGAACAAATATGATGCCAAGCTTCCAGGAGTTTTGAAAAAGCACCGATATTAGATCTGCTCCACGGAGTCCGGGCCACCTGTCCGAGAGGCCCGCCGAGCGGCTGAAGGCCAAACCTCCAGCAACATGTCAGATTGTATGATTAACATTCCTGCCCGGGACTCATTTAGCAGCTCTGTCAACAGGTGGACGCGGCAGAGAGGCGGCTCACAGACGGAATAATTGGAGGGAATTCTGACTGCGTCCTTCATCACCGCTAATAATGAGACAGGTGAAAGAAGCCGAGCTGAGGTTCTCTATCGGCCTCCCTCTCGTCCTCCTCCCTCCTCCTCCCCCGGACACAAAGACAGAAAACCAGTTTGTGTGTGTTTGTGTGAGCCGGAGAAACAAAAAGAGGAAAGTGTGGAGGTGTCAGAAACAGAGCTGGTGGTGTCAATGTGGAGCACTTTCCTTGGCAAGGGGGAGTTTTCTCTTGTTTTGTTTTAACTGAACAAAAAAAAGAGAGTTTTCTTTTTTTCTTTTTCCCGAGGACCCGGGGTTAGAAAATCCTGTGAAAGCAACAGCTGTTGTTTCCTTTTCTCCAAACAAAGGCCAAGGACCCGCTGGAAGCTGATACGCCGTTCAGGGCCGGCTGTAAAACGAAACGGTCGCCGAGAAATCAGCGAGTTCGTCTCTGAGCCACGACAATCTGCCGCTTAAAGCAAAGACAGTCCAGGAGGAGAATATCAAATGGCACCTTTTTTTGGTTTTAAGCGACACGTAGGGGCGGAAAAAAACTTCTAATGAGACGCAGAACGATTAATTTATTCGGCTCGGCTGCCAGCGGAGAGGTGCCAAACAAATGAGTGAAGAAAAAGCTCAGAAAGCGAGACACACAAACAACAAGACTTTCTCAACTTGTGTTTTGCACTTCACAGCTAATAATGTGAAGGGAGGGGAGTCGTATATCTTTAAACCAGACGGTGCCACTTTCATTTTGCGAATAAACAAACATTATTTTCAGCGTTTGGTTTCTGTGAGTCTGGAAACGATTGCCTGCTTCATAAATCCCGCTGCAGCCCTCGTCGCTGCTGCCGCCGCCGCAACGCTGTCGCCGCTTCACGCTGATCAATCAAGTCGAATTAGCGCAGAAACGTGCTCGGCTGCGTGAGTGATGCCGTCTCTTCGCCTGCCGTCGGAGGTGCAGGCGTAGGTTGGACGCTCAATCTAAATATTTACGTCCTTCTTTCTACAAATCCAGTTTTGGGGTTTTTATGTTTGACTGTCTCCGTAAATATTCACACAGCTCAAAGTCAAACAGAAGTCCATAACTCTCCACTCCGCTGCCATCTCGGACCACACCGGCTATATTAATTTCTGGAGCCGACCACAAACTCGACATAAGTGTTGCAAGAGTTGTCTTTGGTGGACGAGACCGCGGGCTCTTGAGAAAAAGAGCAGGCGGCTGCAGAATGTGTTTGAGTCAACATCTATTCTCCGGACTGTAAACGTGAGAAGGACGGGGCAGAAATGTTTAGGTTGTTCTGGAGCTCTTCGGGACGTCTTATCAGCTTATCTGAAGCAGCTTGGCGGTTCCCAGAAACACGAGCGAATGGCATGAAAGCAGCAGCCTCGATCCGTTTGACACGGTTAATCGATCGCATGAAGTCTGTTGGATTACCTGATGAGCTAAAAGAAGAGTTTGTCGATTGTTGTGAATAAACTCTTTCCAATAAAACCCCCTGAAGGAAGTTTTTAGCATCTCCACATGGTATTTTATACACGCTAGATGACACATTATGAGCAAAATAAGCATCCTGCTCTACCATGGCAGAGATTTTCCAACTTGAAACTGCAGGTTACCGATGAAAATCTCAAAAACCTAAAAATCAGGCGCTGCTATAGGTCACCTGGTTGAGCCGGCGTCCCATGTCATGAGGTCATGAGTTCATATCCCGCTCATGGCCCTTTTCCGCAGGTCCTTCCCCCATTCTTCTCCTCCACTTTCCTGTTTCTCTCTCAGCTGCACTCTCAAATATGGGGGCTTCATAGATCTGCTCATTCTCGATCATTTTTTATATATATAATCCCTCCAGCGGGTTCTGGGTCTGCCCCGGGGTCTCCTCCCAGGTGGACGTGTTCGGAAGACCTCCAGAGGAAGCCTCTCCAGAGGCATCCAGATCAGATGTCCAAACCACCTCAACTGGCTCCTTTAGACGTGAAGGAGCAGCGGCTCTACTCCGAGCTCCCTCCAGATGTCCGAGCTCCTCACCCTATCTCTAAAGCTGAGCCCAGCCGCCCTGAGGAGGAAGCTCATTTCAGCCGCTTACATCCACAATGTTGTTCTTTCGGTCACGACCCAAAGCTGGTGACCATAGGTGAGGGGTGGGACGTAGATGGACTGGTAGATCTTCACCACAATGGTCTGGTACAGCGTCCACATTACTGCTGCCTGTCCACCTCGAGCTCCGTTTTCTCATCACTCGTGAACAAGATCCTGAGGAAACATATCTAACAAACCTAAAAATCGATCCTATCAACTTGCAGCGTGCGTCAAACATGATGGTTGAATTTCTCCGACACTGCAACTTGCCATTATGTCGCCGTAGACCGGTTCTACAGTGCTTAAGCAGGTGAGCTGGTGTGCTCGAGATGCAACGATCTTCAAAAGGGTGCAATTATGGGATAGGGGCTTCATAGATCTGCTCATTCTAGATCATTTTTTGAGCGAAAACCTCTACATTTGCAACCTAGAGATGAGTTTTTAAGGGTTTTAATCAATGAGAAGCACTTTAAAGGAATATTTTGACATTTTGGGATCTGCAGTGATGTTTCTTCTATCTGAGAACAAGCTGACAAGACTCTAATGTTTATTTAGTTTAGTTTATTTCTTTACTTCTCAACGTTTACTTTTTTAGCACCGTTTTTTCTGTACACAGAGCGCTTAGATTCACCTTGTTTATGTGTCTTGTCCAATAAAGTTGATTCTGATGTCTGTGCATTAAATATGTAACCGGAGTCAGGATGTAGATTAGTCTTAGCTTAGCATAAAAACTGCCAACAGGGGAAAACATTTGCTTAAGACATCCTCCAATACAGCTTCTACAAAGCTGCAGAAATAATCACGACTCCACAGGAAACTACAACTTCATGTTTTATTTCTTCATTTTTGTAAAAACTGAACACAGGAAACATACATTTAGGAGGTAAATAGGCTTAAGATGCGCTGGTATCTTGTCCTCCTGATTTCCAGTCGCTATGCTAAGCTAAGCTAAGCTAAGCTAACCATGTGCTGTCTCCAGGCCTCATATTTGACTGGCAGATGTGAGAGTTGGTATCAATCAGCATGAATAAGCATGTCTAACTTTGGCTCTAAAAGCCAGCTGTCACTACGTTTTCTCTGCCTTTGGAGCTGAATCCAAGCTTTTTCGCTTTTGTTTCAGTCGTGTGTGTGTGTGTGTGTGTGTGTGTGTGTGTGTGTGTGTGTGTGTGTGTGATTTGGTTTTTTTTAAGCTGGGGGTTGGGGAGCTAAGTGGAAGCAGCTGTCTCCAGAGGTTTTACCTGTTGGACCGCCGCCAGCCTTGAACTGTCTGCTGCCGTCTGACTGATCCACATCAGGGCTGCAGTGACGTTATAATCACATTTAATCATTTAAATAAAAAATGGCCCATTTCAACATTTGGAAACTCTGTCCTAGAAGAGATTACCAGCTCTGCTCTATCAGCTGTAAATCTCATATGTGCACATATTATCCAGCCCTGCAAAGTACACTGCTGCTCTGCAAGAAAAGCATGGAAGGAGGCCCGAGTAACCACAAACTTACTTCACCTATTACATTTGGGGGTTTTGCATTTATTTGTGGAATCCTTTCTCATTTTGGTTAATGTGCTTACTGCCAACATTGCCAAGAGAGTGTTAGCTTAGCATCTAACAATTAGAAAAGATGGGAAACAGATAGTGTGCGTCGGTCCTAAGATAACAAAGCCAATCTAGCAGCACAGTGTCTGTAAGTCTGCTCCATAAATATCCATAAAAATATCTAACCGTGGCTCTACAGGGAGGCTACGTGCGAGATGATTCCTCGGCATCCCTCCTCCTCGCGTCCTGTGTTGCTTTCTGTCTCACTTTCGCTGACACAAACACTCCCACTTCCATGCCAAAACTCGGGCCTGTTCACTTTCACTCTCGATCTCTCCGGCGCTTACCCTCCCCACAAAGCATGCACAGCTTCTCTGTTTCTGGCTGCAGACATGGCCAGCTCCCCGCTGCACGCTCCGCCTTCCTCTGCTGCGTCCTCAACGTGACATACGAGCAGCTCAGGAAAAGACTCGCTCAGCTTTTCGTCTTTGGAGAGTTGCTAATCTGGATGAGGGGGAAGAAGAAAACGAGTGAGATAGGATCCAGGAAAAGAGCAGTGGTGGAAAAACAACTCTGGATTTTTGCAGTTGTTTGCCTGTTTGTAATCTGTATGATTTATAGCATCACTTTCTTTTTTTCTGCGTATCGTAGATGTCTCGCCCGGTTTGTTGACTCACGGTGCATCATCACATTGTTTACAGGCGGTAACAAATCACAGATTGCAGGGAGAGGGAGGCGTACTTGTGTGTTTCCCCTCTTCTCGTGCAAACTTTTACTTTTTTTTATTAATGTTTTTACATAACTAACTTGTGCTACTTCTACTGTTTCCAAACAAACTTCACGCTCCAGTGAGAACACCACCCAACACGCTCCTCTCTTCATATTCTGCTTTCTTATTTAGTTTCTGGATTCGATCTCTCACCATAAAACAAAGCCGAGAACCCTCCTGCTCCGTTATGAACCGAAGCACAAAGAGCGCTTTATTAATGACCCTGAATCAGCGGCCCGGCTCTCGCTTGCTTTAGTAAACTGGACCATTGTGTGCGGCGCCTTTGCGGCCCAAATGGGATTATTCATTATGTGTTTAGCTCATGTCAGCGCAGTCAATTAGAGATTCATTGTGTTTGGTGCTTTAGTGCTCCAGGACTGACTTTGACTTAATAAGAAGAATTATTTTGGGAAGAGATGTCAATGCGGTACGAGTTTACAGAAACCTTTCATGGTTTATTGTTTAATAGAAATAAAGATTTGAAAGGCACCAGAATCATTTATCCGAGCCACAAAACTCAAGTAATTTGCAGATTTTCAGCTTTCTGACGACCTTGAACTCTCTATTCAACAGGAAAATGAACTAAATCTAAGTTTAAAATCAAATTCACTCAATTCTCTTTTAGAGATCCACCAAAAATCAACATTTGCACCGAACAGATTTTGCCCAAAACACTAAAACTTCTACAACCTTAAAGCCATTCAGAGATTCAGCTCCTAGAAACAGTCACGTGACAGAAATTCAGGGACTTTTTGGGCTGAACTGGGCTGAACCGCAGACTGTGTTTACACAGAGTAGATAGGGGACAAGCACGGAAACAAATGGAAAATGTAAAACATCCAAACTATGTGAAATTAGCGTGTTTTCCTCCAGTGCTGATAACACTTGTGGGAAGCGTTGCACACATCGACTGCAGGTATTTCTTGTAAAGTAAATAATCCAAGAAATCGAACTGTGTTTTGTTATAACTGTCAATCTTCACAGAAGACATGTTTCAGATGTTTCAGGTCTCTCCAGGTCTAGTCGTGGTTTCCATAAAGGTGCAGGACTTGCAGCTTAAAAACGCCCAGAAACTGCTTCAAAGGGTTAAAAATCACTGTGCAGCATAAACGATTACCTTATTAATATTATTGTTATTATGTGATTATTGTATTAGCTAAAAGAAACCGAAGCCCAAACCTTCAAAAGCACGTGTTTGTTTACACTGGATATGCCCTGTTAAATCACGTAATTGCTTCCTGTTCCAAGTTACACTCAGCACTTCTTTTACTGCCACTTGTTGGACTTCAAACGGAGGCGTCCTCCGCTCTGAACCTCTTTCAGCCGAGGGCCGGCCGCTGGAGGCTCTCCGATGTGTTTGCTCTCGGGATTTCACTTGAAGATGTTTACAAATGCCTCGGCAGGAAGCACAACAGGAAGAAAGGAGATCTGAAGCAGAGCTCTGAGTGACACACTGAGCTCAGAGGGATCGTTTACTAATCTGTTGAATACATACAGATATTATTATTATTATAACTGGTGATGCATATGGATGCTGCGTGTAGGAACACATCACTGATTACATCGTCACAAGGTGTAAAATGTTGAAGAGTTTTGAATGTGGTTTGGATGCATATTGAACCTATAATGCATATAAAACTAAACCACATGCTCCTGTAAAGATTAACTGACTGAGGAAGCAGCGTCGTGATCAGCACCTTTCACAGCTCCTTCTGTCCCACGCCTGCCTTTTCATTAATTACTCTGAAGGCTCCCATTGGCGCTCCGGTTAACAAAGCCACATCAGCTCACACGCTGAACAACATATTTATGACCTACAGTCTGTACCGAGGCTGTTCTGCATGAGCCCGCACCGTCGCCTGCCCTCCTCTGTGAAAAGAGGGGGGACATAAAAGAGGAAATGAATGTGTGAGGGATGAATACGTGGCCCTGGGGGTCAGCTTAATGGAGTGAGACCCCGGCCCCTATTGACTTCCACTGCCAAACTATTAACTCCCCACAACTCCCAAGCTGCAGCCTCATTATTCATTTCAGGGTGAAAGCACATTTCCTGTTTATATGTATTTCTTGAGTTGTTTAGTTTTTTTTTTTTTGTGAGGAGATAAGTCATTTTGTTCTGAGAGTGTAAAAAAAAAGCATCAGTGTAAGAGTCGGTTTTAATGCCAGCATACAGCCGTTAAAGTTAATGTGACACTTTGGGGTAGTTTTAAACAATTGCGGTGCAGCTGGTTGAGCTCTGTGTGTGAAATGAGAATAACTGAGACTGAACACAACTCTGTCACTTAAAAAGAGTCACTAACGAATACATAACCCTAAATACATGTCCGACCTCAGAAAAACACTTTGACGGTCAAATTTGAAACTGAATGTTCCAATAAATGCAGAAATGTGAGATCACATGTGTTCCTCAGCGCTTTATTTCCATCATCAATTAATCTGTCAGTGAGTTTCTTGTTCATTTGTTTATCCGTGGAAGACGAACTACAGAAATGTCAATAATTCTTATATTTAGGAAGCTGTAACCATGAAATGTGTGGAAAATGTGCCTAAACATGTTCAAGATAGTCTCCAATAAATGGTCCTCTTATTTACTACCTGATTAATTAACTAATTTTTGCGAAATAGAAAAGAAATGCAATGAAAGAAGTCCAGTTTAAAGGTGCCCTGTGAAGTTTCTGACCACTAGTAGTGCTGCAGAGCGTTCTGTTTTGTTGGATCCCTGTTGGTTTTCAACACAATGTCCCTTTTGCTGATTGTTTGATGCTCCAAAGAGGCAGAAATGTGTCCGGAAACGCCAGAAAACATGGATGTTCGCAATATTTTTTAAAAATCAGCTCCGCAAATATCTTAAGAGGAAGTTTAAGGAGGCACATGAAGCTGAGAAACGCTGACTAAAAACAGAATTTGTGTTTGTTGTCATGCAAACTCCACACCCAGGGAACCCCAGTTTGAAGGACCAGATACTAAAAGACGGGAGATTACAACTCTTCAATACTATCGTGTTTGAAATCAGAAAATCCTCTGTTGTGATGCAAAACTCACGCATTTGCACATATTTGATTTCTTAAGTCGCCCTAAAACTTAAACCTAAGTTTGGTGTTCATCTGGTTAACGCGCTGAGACACAAACATCTTTTAGAAAGTTCACTTCTGCAACAAACGGTGACAAGTGGGGAGCTGGGATTGTTCTGCAGGGAGACAACCGCAAAATGATCTTCTTAAAAATTCATGTGGCCTCCTTAAGGCAGCGAAGAATCCCACTGACTTGGATGTGTGAGTGTGTGTGTGTGTGTGTGTGTGTGTGTGTCCGGGGGTGTTATCAATAACAAGTGAGAGGGGTATGTTTCTTTAAGACAAGCCCATAAATGGTGGCCCGGTCACCACCTCCTTCAGTCAGAAGGGGCTGGCTGCAGTTCCAGTTTTCCTTGGCGGGTCAAGCCTGCTATTGAAGTCTGAATGGGCTGCCATGGCAGATTACACTGCACAGCTGTCCCCCTACCGTGGAAATTAAGTTATGCCCCGTGTCAGCAAGTTTTGTATTTTCCTCTCCCTGTCTCTGGTCCCTGCCCCTCCCCCCTTTCCTCCATCCGTCTCCTCTTCTTCCTTAAATTGTGGAGCGGAGGCCCCTCAGCCAGAGGAGGCCTTCAGAGGCGACCATGCCAAGAAAAAACATGAGAACTCTCTCCGACAAAACAGCCAGTTTACTACCACGCTGCCCTGGCCTTCCTCCACACGGTTGCACATGGAACCATTTGCATACACACCACACCTTGGCTCATGTAAACACCGACCCGGAGCGCGCAAACAGAGGCGGCCCCGACTCGTTGTCTCGACCCGTCTTGGACCGCGTCCTGCTGCACTCGCGGCCCCGGCCTCGTGTTTTGTTTATTTGTGGGTGAAGTTGTTTGTGTTGTGGTCAAAGTGAAAGGCAAACACTCGAGCTCCTCCACTGATGTGTGAACATGCCGGGAATGTCCTCCTCCCCCCCGAAGTCCGCACAGCAGCTGGACCTGCGAGCTGCTACGAGAGCAGACAGACCATAATAAACTCCTAAACACCTCAATTAATGGGCTGTAAATTTACACCACAGAGTATCTTCGGAGAGCCGATAGGCCTGATCAATACCCATTACTAAAAACAGCACAGTGCCAAGCGCTCGGGCATTTATTTCTGCAGCTGTTTCATTTAGCCACACATCCACCCGTCTCACAATGAAATGCTTTTCTTTAGCAATTTCTGCTGTCGGAGCAAACCAAAAAAACACCTGCATCCCTGAGTGCTTACGTAAAAAGAGTTCCAAACCGTCCTGTCCTGCTCGTTTACTGCTCAAATCAAACAGTACAACCATAAAATATATCAGTCACATTAGCAAAAGTCTGCAAACATTAACAACAAACCAGTGCTGTGGCTGCTGCCCTCTAAAATGAGAAGTGTGTTCTGATCTGATCAGCAAACGTTATCGGGATGTTACTTCCAAATCAGTTTGGCAACAACAGATCGATGGGCCAGTCCTCCACCCCAACATCCTCCCTATTCACGGACATATGAGGTCACCGTACCTTCTCCGATTACCAGAAAACTAATTGGGCTACTTGCACATAAACAAACGTCACTTTGAGCCACTTCCTCAAATGACTGATGTTGATTTTGTTGTTTTTCTTATACATGCACACACTGGGCTTTAGTACATTTCTCATCGTTTAGAGCGAGTGTATTTCTTCTGTATTTCTCCTCCT